AATATTGGAGTTCACCCTAACAAAGTATCTGATTCGACACAAAAACGGAAATGAGTTATTTCAAGTTTACAATATCATGATTCATGACTTCCAGGCACTCTGCTACCTTCTTAAGTTTGATTAAGGCCAACAAGACCACAAGCATTTACAGAGTACCCACTATACTTAACACTAGACATACATAGATGAATAAGACACGGTCCATCTTTCATGAAGCCCCCATCAGGGAAAGTGCAGACAAGCCAAGAAGTATTTGCCAAATGCCTACACTAAACACTGGGGTGTGAGAAATGCAAAGAATTCACTCCACCCCAGCAAGGACTTCAGGACTTCTGCATTCTGAGGACCACTGAGAAAAGTGATGAAGATGCTGTAATTCGATTACTACATAGGTATAGGACCTTCCTTTCTAATTAACGTCAAGGTCACCATAACTCTAAGACTCTTTAAATGCCAATATCCTGGGGCTGACACAGACTATCTGAATCAAGAATATGAACAAACATTCATGAAGTGAAAATAATTACTAAATTCAAAAAAACTGGAGTACTGTTTCAACTGATAGAATGTAAACATTTCCTAACTATAAATAATTTGTATCATTTGTATCTAATGGACCCAAATCACAAACTAAGGCATATACTCAAAACAGAAAAAAAAAATGAAAATTTAGTGATTACTTGGCTTTTTTTAAGATACCAAAATCAGAACAAATTTTGGTGCAGGAATATCCATTGGGGAGGTCTGAATTATCTACTTAAGTGTTTAGTTAATTAAGTCAACTAGATCTAGTCAGCTCCCGTTAACCCTCTTCAACAAACTCTGATTATCTCTGTAAAATGACAGGGTTGGATTAAACTTCTAAAGTTCCTTACAAATAGAAAATTCTGTACTTCTGTGGTCCATAAGATTAAAATATCAACACGGTTTCAAAAGGAGAGTAAAAAAGCCATCTTAACTTCTCAAACTGGTACTGCTATAAACTTCAGTTTCCTACCTTATTTCAGTATCATGGTTCAGATTTTACCTATTCAGTTTTCAAGTTTGTCAAAGAAAGCTTCATGACTCAAAAGGTACTCCTCCAACCCTCAACACTAAAACTGTTCCATTAAATACGAGATCCTAAGAAAAATATGCAATAAAAGGGAGTGGGAGCTGAAGAGAATCTCTTCCACATCAGACCTGGAATGCACTAATTAAAGCTCAACATTGCACGTGGTATGTGGCTTCCTAGATGAAACTTGTGCCATGCTTTAGCTTTAGGTTAAACAGGTTAATAGACTCCAACAAAATGGCTCTGTTGAACTCGACTGAACTTCTTTTCGGCAGCTCCTCTACCTGACTACTCTGCTGAGCTTTAAAATCAACCTTAGGAATAGCACCAAACCACCAAGGTGAGCCAGGGCACACGGGGGCTGCATTCTGAAACCCACCCCGTGTGGAAAATCACCGTCGACTCACCGTTTCCATTTCAAACTGTGATACAAGTGAAGGAAAAAATGTAAAGCCTTCTCTTAGAACCTCCCATCCCACTGCCTCAGGGGCTAACGTAAGAGTTATCTCAAAAGCAATCTAATGCAGTACAGTTCTCAGACTCTAAAAGTTGTATTTGCGAGAGAAAGAAAAAAACTCCCTTGGGACTAAAGGTTAAATAAATGTCGTATTGCGACTTCGCGGTAGGGGACATGGCTGGATTTACAGGACTTCAATTCGGAGAACCTACCCCCTCCGCTCCCCCCCAAAAGACTGCCGACATCCCCATCAAAACAAGATGCTGGATGCCGAGAGCAGGGATTGGGGCGGCAGAGTGAAGCGTGGAGCCTCTGCTGACAGCGGGGAGTGAGGGCTGGGGAGGTTAGAGGAGTGAAGGCGACAACGGGGCGGGGCGCAAAGGTTCCCTTCAGGAAGGCCAGGGGCGCCGTCGCGGGGAACTCGGCCTGGCAGCCTCGTGGTCGGCGAAGAGGCCCGTCAGCCTCCTCAGGTCAAGCCCGGAAACCCGGCCTCCCTTCTCCCCACGCCAGGGCGACGCGCCGCCCCCCGCCCCTCGCGGCCGCGCGAAGCAGGTACGCACAACGCGCAGAACCCAAGAAAATGAAATCAGAACCGGCCCGCGCTCAGGAGGCCGGACCCGCAGCAACCGAGGCGCCCGCTCACAACGCGGGGCGGCCGGCGGCAGGGGCGCGCGGAAAGCGCAGCGCGTGCGCCCAGGAAGCGCGCCGCCAGGGCGGCCCTCGGCCCCGCCCCCCGGCTCCCCGCGCCGCCGCCGCCGCCGCCGCCGCTGCCCCTCTGGGAACTCCGCGCCGCGCGGCCCCGCGAGGCGGGCGCCGGGGAGGGGAGGGGAGGGGCCGCGCTCCCCGCCTCCCCGCTGGCCTGCGCGGCTCCCCAACCCGGAGCCTACTCACCTCCTCCTCCTCCTCCTCCTCCTCCTCCTCCTCGTCTCTCCCTCCTGGCCACCGGCGCGGCCCAGCCGGCGACGCGCTGACGCCGTGCCCCTCCCCCGCGGCCGCCGCCGCCGCCGCCGCCGCCGCCGCCGCCGCCCCTCCCGGCCGGCGGCCTCAGGGCGCTTCAGGCGCAAGCCCCGCCCCTTCGGCCGGCCCCCGCGCTCAAGGCTCCGCCCCGGCGCGGTCCGCACGCTGCCGGCGCCGGGTCCGCAGGACCCCGACCCCCTGGGCTCACGGTCCCTGCTCACCTCCTTACTTGCCCGCTGCCCGAGGCGCTCGCTTCGCTTCGCACCTCTCTGCTCGCCCTTTCCCCTCTCTTGTCAGCGCTCTGTCCGTCTCTTCAATTTTTTTGTACTCTTTCCCCAACCCCCCAGTCTTGTTCTGAGCTCGCTTTGGCGCCTTCTCTTTTCTTCTATAAGGTCTTCTCTGCTCCCTAGGTCGGCCTCGGCTTCCTCCTGCAGCGTTCTTGCTGGTGCGTCCTTCTCCCTGGCCTGCGGGAGGCTAAGCGCCGGCCGTACGGGGCTCCTTCCCTGCCGCCTCTCCCTCCTGGGCAGCTCGCGCCTCCGGCCCCTGCATCGCCAGCGCGTCCTTATTTCTCTCCCTCTGGCCCCCTCTCGGAACCCTCTTGGCAGGCTCACACGCTGTCCCTTACCTACACTTTGCGTGTCCTTTCGGTTCTGACTACTCCACACACTTGATGCAGTTTGAATATTCGACAATTGAACGTTCGCGGTCCCACTTAACCTGAAAAGAGTCCCATTGAGTAGTTAACAGTCACAAAGCAAACTTGCTTAGTTGCCATGTATACTTTCTCTGCGATAATGTATTAATTGACTCTTAAATATCAAGGAATGGAATTTTGGGGCTTACAATTCACAGATTTTGGATGTTTATTCCCTGCAACCTAACCTCACTTTAGCATTTATATTTATAGAATGCATAGTCAACAGAAAGAGCCCCAGGAACTTTTGGATCTCTTGTTTTCTTACCTGCAAAATAAGGAATTTGTCCCTTCCACGTTTAAATTTCTGTGATTCTGAATTGAAGGATTTTGTATTTGGAAGGAGTTTGTGGGTTAAATGAGTCAGGAGAAGGCAAAACCTGCAAATGTAACTGGAAGTCTGGTAACTTCATTTTTAAAACTGCAGCTTGGAAGAGTTAGGCTGTGATGTGGAAATAAGAAACATCCAAAATAAAGGAAACTGATAAGGCCTTTGGAGTTAGATCCACAAGTTGCTTTAAATTATGTGAGTAAACATTATTGTTATTACATTGAATATTTGACCCTATCTTCCATTCTAAACAAAATCCAGGCTCTATGTGGACCTTCAAAGTTTAAAACCACCATCGAATTGAACAACAGCACTACAAGCATTTGAAAGCCTAATAAAACACCTGTCCATCCACTTTAACACAAATTGGGAAACAGAAAAGTGTAAATGCCAAAAGCCGAAAGCAAGAGTTCCTAACTACACATGAAACTAAGAAATCCTATCTCACAGAACAAGTATAGGAAAAACTCCAAAGGCTATGGCTGCCATTTCCTTGCTTTGGAAATACAATCGTGTAATTTTATAGTTGACTTAGCTAGTTCTTAATATCATCTGGAGCCTAATCTTTTCATTTTACAGATGACGAACTGAAGCCCAGAGAGGGTAAGTTGCTTGCTCAAAATTTCTTAAATTAATTGGAAACAAATTCAGGATTCAAACTCAAGTCTCCTGTCTCACATACCTGCCAGCATCTAGCTTATAGTTACCAGTTACATAAAGCTATTCACATCTGATGTCTTTGACTTTGCAGTTTTGCCTAGATGGTGTGAGTCATCACTCAGAAATTGAACTTGGCATTAACTAGGAAGGTATTGCTGTCAAAGATGATTTTGTCCCACTAGTTTCAAGGATTCCTGTTGCACAAGCTCCATCTCACCCAGTCAGGGTTCATTTTCATAATCAAGGCAATTCTGGCCAGGTCTCTGGAGCCATGTCCCAACCAAACATATTTATCCTAGGAGATGCCAAGAGCTGTGCATGATTGTAACAATTATGAATTTCCTATTATCAAGAAAATTACAACATTACAGGGGAGGTAAAAATCTGAAACATAAAAGAATAAACAATTCACCATTAATAACCAAGGATTCAATTGTAAAATCCAAATCTTAAACTGGAAAATATCCATGCAAATTAAGGGAAGTCTTCTTAAAAGGACAAAAACGAAAATGTAAAATTTAGATTGGTTTATAGGAAAAGGGTAAAGGAAATTACTTGAAAAAAGGCGCTGAGAAGAAAATGAGCAAGCGAAGAATGGGGCAAAGTTAGGAGGTCAGATGAATTAAAGCAGGAGGTTCAGGGGCCGGCCCCGTGGCACAGCGGTTAAGTGCACACGTTCTGCTTCAGGGGCCCAGGGTTCACCGGTTCGGATCCCTGGTGCTGACATGGCACCGCTTGGCAAGCCATGCTGTGGTGGGCATCCCACATATAAAGTAGAGGAAGATGGGAGGTTAGCTCAGCTCCAGTCTTCCTCAGCAAAAAGAGGAGGATTGGCAGCAGATGTTAGCTCAGGGCTAATCTTCCTCAAAAAAAAAAAAAAGACAGGAGGTTCATTTTAGAAACAATAGAAAACCAAGCTGAAATGATAGGGTAGAACTGTTGATAGAGGGCCTGAATTCGAGCCTGAGAAATTTGACTTGATCTAATAGATCATTCTGGGCGGATTTGGCAGGGGGAGAGGGGTGAAGACAAGACAGGAGACTATAACCTTGTCGGGTTCTGAAGTAGCAAGTGGGATTTAAAAGGAAGTACTAGACATAAATGCCACTGAGGAAAAGACTTAGAGGGTTCCGTGAGTATATAGAGGGTTCAAAGAAGAGCAAGAAGTCCAAGATGATGTTAGGATTGTGGCTAGAGTTGATAATGGTACACATAGACCTTGACACCTTAGAGTTGGAAGATGGTCAGCACTCAAAAGGTACAATTGCTGGAGAAAGGAGCAAGAAATTTTTGCAGGGTAACCCTCCTATTCATCATGTCCCCAATCAAGAAAACTTTAGTTTGCTACTCAAATTGAATTAGAAGGTAAGAAAGCAAGCTTTCACCCTGTCATGGGCCCTGTGCTGGTGTTTTTATGGTCGACCTATTTTTATTTCCGTTTCAGCCCTACTAATGTAAAAATGCTCAGTGGTGCAGTATATAATGTTACAGTGGAAATAAATCAATAAGTGTTTGTTAAATACGTACCAAATGCTGCTCAGCACTCTGCTAGGCCTAGAGGGCTGGAAAAGTATAAAAAGGGCCTCTGCCTTTCAAAAACTTACAATCTGGTTGGAGAAAAAAGGTCAACACACCTGACCCAGCGGAGAATAAATTCCATGGGCAATCTGTGTGGACTGTAAAGTGTGCTTATTTAGAAATAGTGGAGAATAGAGCTGAGTGGATTGGAAATAATATAATCTATAGTGTTCATCAGTCAACAAATTTTCTTTAATGTTTAAGCACTAGTCTAGGTTCTGGAGGTAAAATAAAAACTTTCTTCTCTCATTGAGCTTGATTTCCACTTGGGAGAGACAGAGAGGAACAAATAAATACAAAACTATTAAATAGTAATAACTGTTCTGAAGAAAATAAAATGTGAAGGTGTCAAAATGAGTGTCTGGAAAGTAGGTTAGATGTTTCTGAGGAACATTTAAACAATGACTTGAATGAAAGAAACAAGCAATCATGGAACCATCTGGAGAAGAGCGGTTCAGGCAGAGAGTAAAAGTACAGAGCCCTAAGGAGGGGTCAAGCTTACTGTGTTTGAGACCAGAAAAGGCCAAGTGTTTCTGGAGTGTAGAGAGCCAGGAGGAAAGTGAAGGAGATGAAACAGGGAAGGTAAGTAAGGCCTTGTAGGTAAGAAGGGATTTTGAGGTCAAGTTAAAGTATGGATATTTGGAAGATTAGTCACTCTGGCATTCTGGATTAGAGGAGGAAGAGATTAGGACCTGGAAGACCAGATGGAAGCCTGCGTGATAATCCGGGCAGGAGGTGATGTGAGGTAGACGAGGTTGGTGGCAAGGTTAGCAAGGAAGACAAAAATGTCAAGCAGATGAAGTGTTGGGTATTTGTGAGGGGTGGTCAGTGGTGGGGAAAGCCCACAGTATCAAATGCAGCAAAAAGGTCAAAGAGAATAAGCTTTAAATAAAAGCTAGTATAATTAACAAGAAAGATGTCATGTGTCAATTCCAAGAGAAGAGTTTTCATAAGGTGGGGTGGTAAGAAGTGAGGAAATGAAGGCAGTGACCTTTGTAAGAATCAGGACAACTCAAAAGGTAAAAAGCATATGTACATTTTAGTTACCTTTTAAAGCTATTTACGTTTGGGATACTATTAAATCTTTAAATCCAGGTAAACATTCCCAGCCAGGTCTAATTATGTCACCATACTGAAGGGAAAACAAACTTTTACCACAGAAACATATCTTATATGTTTTTCTGGGCCAAAAATCAGTTCATCAATGACTCCCTGCTCTAAATGTCTTCAGAGAAAGTTCACTCTTACTCCTGGGATATGCAAGAATCTAACAGCAGAAACATTACAGCAGATGCAGTACCATGTCAGTTTTGATTCCATTACTGCCACCTGTCCGGTCTAAACCATGTTGGCTGTGGGTATAACCTTGAGCACGTCACACAACCTCGCTGAACTCCAGGTTTTCATTAGTAAGGAAGAGGAATCTCTCAGATTTTAGGTTTACAGGCATACAGGTTAGCACGTCTGTTGAAGAGAAACAAATCCCATTCTGTGAGATCCACATGAACAGCTTTCATGACTCCAAGAGGGACTTTGGCAAAGTCTTTCCAAAAAGACAACTTGGTTGAACTAGATGTTCTATTGTTCAGCAAATTGCAAGACAATTAATTAGTACTTTTCTTCCCTGGAAACAGACTAGGCTAGTTTGGCAGTCAGAATGAAAGGGGAAACTTAAGTCTCCTCTATTTGTAGCTATGCAGCTTGAGCATCTTGAGGAAATCAAGCCTGACTCTGGCCAAGTTGTGTCCACACATGCAGCACATGCTTGTGCATGTCTTCTCTCGATTGTCTGATACAGGTGGGTAGAGTGTGTTAATTTGTTAGGAGTTATTGAAAGATGGGATGCTATTAGTACTCTTTTTTATTTGGAATGTACTTCATTTTGGGGTCCATTGGGAGCAGTTAATCTCTTGGGATGCTTTGGAAAGCTTCATTAAATTCAATGAAGGAAAAAGAAGTATAAGTTATTCTAAAAATAATCATGAAATTTTCTGTGTTTAATTTGCTGGCCCAAATGCTCCTCAAGTAACTAGTGAACAGGATTCCTAGCATTAATGAACAATTACCATATTGCTGAAATCAATACCATAGTTAGCATGAAAAGCCTTCTTATTTTTGGTGCTAAAGAGGCCAAAAACATCAGTAGCCCAGGAAGCATAAAATGTACTCTCTGATGATGAAATGATCTCTTTAAATTAGGGTTTAGCTATTCCAACATTGCGAGAGAATTTGCTTTATCGCTGTTACCTTCTGGACTAGAGACAGAAACATTTTATACTGTGGTTCATCCTGTACCTTTTATCAAGGATAAATTCATGTTTTTGTTTAAAAACAAAGAAAGCTTACATAATCTCTCCTCATGATTAGCCCTTCCAGTAATTATCTGTTGCTTGGAATCAGTGTCAGCCAACCAAGTTCAGATGGCAAAAAAATGTTTGATCTGCAGCGATGTGATTTAGAAGGCTCTGCATGGAAGGTACAGCTATGCACATACAGAGAACATATTTATCTAATTTGACTGCCAGTGATTTAATTAATGTTTGTCAAGCACTTTGAACATGAAAAGAACTATCTGAAAGCTGAGAGCTATTACTCATAATCATTTTTCCTATTTGCTGAACTAAAATTAACATACAAATGTGATACTCCTATGGTATCTTTGAGAGATATGCTCCTGTTCTAACAAACTCTTTGGACTACGCTTTAAGAAAGTCTCATTAAAACTTCAAGGCTCTGGTTTCTGAAAGTCAAGCTTCAAGCTGGTTGGGTATCATCCATCAGTAGATTTTGAAGCATACAGGCTAAATAAACAACAGTGACAGCTTGGGGAAGTGTATGCACCTGTTTATTGAGACTATGTTAACAGGGGCAAATCTAAAATAAGAATGCATACTGCAACCTGATTTTCAAGAAGTTTTTGTGCATGCCTTCACTTAAAATTACTCATATTATCATCTAATTTTTTTCTTCTAGTTTTCCTTCCAAAGAATAACAACTGACAAGCACGAAGTCTCAGTAACAATCTGAGGGGAAATAAAGAATGAAATGACCCTATTTCAGAGATTGGAGGAGAAGCAAACGTGATGTTTTCCTTTATTGCTTTTTCTCCAAGTCAAGTACAAGAGCAATTGGCAAAAGAGGAAGAAAACCTGAGAAGAAAGTAAGGAGCCTCGACAAAGGCCCTGATCTAATGTGATTCTCCACACAGGTTTTGGTAGTGCTGCATTCGTCCTTACAAGGCATGGTGGGATATTTGTCCAACTTCCCAGGACCATAGGGCAAAATGGACACCCTTGTGTATAGAAGAGGTGACTTAAAAAAACACTGACTTTCCTTTATGAATGGTTTTTGAATTTTAGTTTCATTTCATTGACATTCCAGTCCCCTAAAGAGAATTCTTACATTGCCTCTGCACCATACAGAGTCTTCTTTCCATATGCACCATGCAACACATATACCTTGGTAGAATAAGTCAGATTAAGGTATTATTTCTACCTCAACTCAGCAAAACTAAACTTGACATACGGGCCTGGGAATCTGCCCATTTAACAAGCTCCTGCATGATTTTATATTTGCTAATGTTTGAGAAAGACTTCTAGAAGAGGTATTACTTACCTTGTCTAGTCATTCTTAGCACAGATCTTACTTGTAGTAATCAGATATGTCAGGGACAATGGCATTATGTGGCTCTCTTACATTTTTCCACTCTCTTGTGTAGTTAGGTTGGGGCTAGGTAACTGGTACTGACCAGTGGGCTTGAGGGGAAATGAAGTTTGTCACTTCCAGCCAAGGTTCTTAGGAGCACTTTTCTCCCCTGCCCCTGTGGCTCTGGAAGCCCCATTTTCCAGAGGGTGTAGCTATAAGAAGACAACACCCCTGGATCCTTGGGAGCTGCTCTGGAGAGCAACTAGACTCTCAAGAGATTTCTTATAAGCTAGAAGTAAACCTCTAACAGTTAAAGAGCTGAGTGGTCTGCTATTGTTAACTATGCCAGTATTGTGTAGCCTTTCCTGAAGAACACAACCAGATTTAGATATCTCTCTTTCACAATTGCAGAAACAGTTTTAAGTCCTGGACCTTAAAATGGCAGAAAGGGATAATGGAATAAGCTGGGCACAATTTACTAAACAGATCATTTAAGAACACATGGATAAACAAAAATCGCAAATAGTATGCTGTATGGTAGAAAAAAATGTTCTTTATATAGTTCAGTTCTGGCACTACCTTCCAATCCTCCCCAAAATTAAAAAATTAGTGAAATCTTTAACCTATTATGCCCAGGAAAAATATCTTTGTCCTTGTCATGCTTAGATCCTCTTTTTTTCTCCATCTTGGTCACATATCATTAACAGTCCATCTTCTGGGCTCTCAGATGGATGGGGTTCCCATATCCAATGGCAGTCAGAAGTGGATTGATTTGTATTTGCTGCTTAAATTTCAGTCCTTAAGTGCATCAACTAAATTTCTTTGACATTCGCCACTTGTAGTCCTAATTTCTTACCTCACAGATGTGTGCAATGCTGAAACAGAGAGGTTCACCCCTCTCTGTACTTTGGGTGCTGCCCTCACACACCTGGGTCGAGACCTGTGGGAAGGATGAATCAGACAGTTTTGGTGGAGAGCATGAATGATGGAAGAATGATTTCCATAGAGGCCAAACACTTTGCAGAAGTCACTGATCTATACTATTTGCTGATCTACCCCTGAAACATTCTCTCTGACAGCAGAAGGCCAGTTTTTGCTATAAAGCATTTCAAAATCACTGTTTGAGAGCTACATACACACATAAAGAAGGAGCAGGGAGAACCCTCCTCTTACGGGTTCTCAAGCACTTCAGAGACTCTTTTGTCAGTAACTATGCTCTTGCTCAAAAATCTTATAGGTGCCTGAAATCTTTTTTGGAAACAAGGGAGAAATAAACAAAACACAGGCTAGCTACAGTTTGCTGCTCCCGTGAGTAGAGTACAGTTAATAACATTTCTTGTATCACTTTTCCCTTAATTCATAGACCAAATAGAGAAAAAAAATGTACTGTATTCTTTTTCCTGTTGCTTTTTCAATAATTCCTGAACAAATCCACATAACATTCCTGCAGTTGAGTGGAAGAACCATATGAAATGGACACATTGAAATCTTTTTCAGTTCTATTTAGTATTTATTTGTCCCCATTTTGAAATAGGGCCATGCTGCTTTTGTTCCTATAGAAAAGAAGTTATGATTTAAGAAAACTTTACAAAAGGGAAGCTGATCTTGATGTTATCAAACTTCCCTCTTTTCTTTTAGCAGAATGTTTGAGAAAATGCCAATTGGTGTCGCCTATCATCAGAACTTTTCAAGTTTTCAATTTGCTTCTGCAAATTAACTCACGTAAAACTATCTGACCTCCTTTAACAAATACTTTTTTATTTCTGTCTGAATAGTTAGCACCTACGTTTGTCTCTGCCTACTGAAACAGTATGACTGTATAGTCATAACTATAGTCAATAACTAACTTGCATGTTCTTCCATTTTTAATAAGGGGGAATGTGCATTGGTATAAATTCAGGCATCCATATTCTTTTGTGGTGAGTATTAACCAGAATGCCATTTTTGTCCAGACTGTCACCGGATGATTTTATAATTAGAAGATTCACTCAAAAATGAAAGTCTGAAGTTGATGAGGCAGAACCAGCTATGTTTTAAAGGGAAATACTTATTAGTACAAAATATTGGAGGACAAACAAAATCAATTTTTACAGGCAGATTAACCAAATTGTTCATTATTGTAGTAAACATTGCAAAAATCAAGAGGATGGACTATATTAGCTGTACCCAAGCAAGAGAATGAAGTACTATGACCTAATTTATGTACAATAATTGTTCACACTAGCATTCTCATAGTTTGGATAGTGACTCATTTTGTTCTGTGACACCTTTGTTCTCCAGTATCAGCTGCTATTAAAAAGTAGAAGCAAAAAAAAGGAAATAGGATTTTTGCCAGGCTAGTTGAGGGTTTTAAAAATTACCTGAACATCAAGGGTGAAGCAAAGACTACCAGTGTTAGGTAATCTGGTAGCTTTACATCTTTTCAGTAGGTTTGAATATTTGAAAAGTAATTTGTTTTCCCTAAAAGACATTTAATAAGATTTTTGGTGGCATATTATTTTAGCATTTAAAGAGGTTGAGCACAGAAATCGAGTTAGGTAAGCATAGGCTTTTTCTTCTTCATTTTGCATCCCTACCATTTGATTTTCCTTTGGATGTAGATGGGCGTGTTAAAGGAGGGAGTATATTTCAAAGAAAGAGCTTAATAAAGTAATTTACTGTCAGCAGGTCACTGCTAATAAGCAAATCTTTTATAAATCATGAGACTGAGCAGATTACAAAAGATGGGGTGAAAAATCACTGCCAAAAGATGTAATGTCCAAGGGTTTTTCAAAAATGATGAAAGGACCTAAATGTCAAGTCAAGAATACACATACACAGAAGAATTAACTTCTTGAAGGTGTTTCACTGGATATTTTTTAGCTCATTACTTTGGAAATTCCCAAATATATACAAAAGTAGAGAGAATGTTACTATTATAAGGGACTTCCATGAAGTCATCAACATGTTTGCTACACTTGTTTTAGATTTCATGATTTCTTTGATGTTGTTTTTATTGCTGGAACATATTTAAAGGAAATCATGATGTCATGTTATTTCACCCCTAAACACATGAAAAAATAAAAAGAATATTTTCGTATGTAATCTTAATGCAATTATCACACCTAAGAATGTTTATAATGTCTATTCTCACATCCCTTAAATCATTGTAGGTTAGCAATTAGCATTTTCTTGTTTGATTTTTATCTTTGCTTCACCCCTTTCTACTTTATAGGCATCCCCTTGATTAGCAAAAAAACTCCTACAGTTGGATTAGGTTATTTTTAACATATCTCTAGGACCTGCCTATGCTTTTCTCTGGCATAGTGTGTTATTCAGAATCTTACACCATTTCCAAATTCTGCAATGCAGTTGGCATGATACAAAAAAATTAAATTACAATTTTGCTCAAATTCCAAAGTTTTGTAGAGTTTGAGAATACTGTAATTTATTAAAAAATAAAACTAATCCATAATCTAACTATAACTGCATTGAGTAATCTACCAGGTAATGTCTCCAATGTTTTTCCTGGGATCGTTTGTTTGCAAATATAGAAAACCAAATTTGGCCGAATAAAGCCAAGAAACAAATACATAAAGGTTAAAAGGTAAATAAATGGAAGGAAAGATGTAAATCTCAGCCTGAAAAAGGACAGGAATCAGACACTCTGGGGAAAGAGAGTTCTGCGGAGCAGAATCTTGTGGGCAGTCTCTTCAGAACACTGCCGTTAAGATGAATCAGTTCCACGTGTTTTCCAACTTTGCATCACTCTGCTCTGCTCAGAGTCTTAGTCGATGGCAAGTGCTCACTCCTTGGCTAGGATCTGGCAGGATTCCTTAAAACTAGCAGCCCCACCAAGACCATACACAATGAGGTAGAGGTGGTTTCTCAAAAAAAAGTCAAGTGTTGTTACCAATGAAGAGAGAATGGAAGCCTGGAAGGCAAATTCAACTGAGGCAGAATGAAAATATAGAAACACTTCCTTCCTCTCATCAATGACTATTTGTCCTTCAGATATTATTGATGGGTCATTGAAAATTCAGGCTTTCTCAACAACTCTTTTCTGTATCTATGCACTGCTATTAGGAACTACTGCTCTTACTAGATCCCCTTTCTCCACATTTCCTTCGTCAGAAATCAGTGTTCCAAATTCCTACAACATCCAAGCTGCCAGAACTGTTGAGTTCTGTGCACCTGATACCATCTTGCTCTCTTTTTTGGGCTGTTAAGGATGGATTTAAAAATTCCAGTTTAATTTAAAACTCTCCGTTTCCTTTTTTGCTCACACTTTTGCTAATTTATCACCTTTCCTTCCAGTTCACTATTAAATAACACTAATTTAAAAACATGGATCATTCCCTCTGCCCTTTCTGCCAGAACTGTCCCCTTCCACAACACACACACCACACACACACTGCATTCACACACCAGTTTTGTCAGTGCCTAGTGTGGCACCAAGTAGGCACACAATGAAATTGGAATTTAATTGAGCTGTAGCAAATTTAGGACTGTACAAGTTTGCTACATAATGGGAGAGTTCAGAGACTACTGGTCTTAGGGATATAGCATTTTTCCTTTAGAGTCAAATGTTATAACCAGTGTTTAAGAGAATAAAAGGAAGTGAAGTTGGTATGCATTATTTCGATTTCTAAGTGAGCTAGTTTTCCTATCTGATTAGCCCACTAAAAGACGGTTTCAGACCCTTTATAAATAAGATA